ACCTATCTTCAGAAAAAAACGGACTCAGTGATTTCAGGGGGAACATACTTGCTTCGTTGTTCCCAAAAATTTACCTCAACCAAAACCCGCCCTCCTCTTGCACGTTCAATACGTTGACTTCTGGACGAATGGAACGTCCTATTTGTTAGGTACAAGCTCACAAACTTGGATAGTGACGCGGATAAATTGAAAAATATCGAGGATCTATGCAAGAACAAGATTAGGGAATTGCTCAACCGACGACTAAAAGAAAACTTAGTGAGGGCAAGAAGAAACCCCTCCTGCCTCTTCAAATTTCTTCGCCATAAAAGGCAACCCAGTTCCTCTACTCTAACTCTAAAACTTCCTGAAGGCTCCCCAATTAGCTCACCTGAAAAGGAAGCGGACACCTTCAGAACCCATTTCTAAGATATTTTTAACTTCGCTCCACCTACGTTCTTTCCTGCTCTACAGCATACGTAAGGCGTATCCCCTTTTGAGCACTTCTTTGTTCAGACCGAAGAAGTACTAAAACTTCTAAAGTCACCAAACTCTTATAGCTCAATTGGCCGAAACGATGTTTATCCCAGGATACTCAAAGAGACAGCAATTGTTCTAGACCCACATTACGGGCGGCTCTTTCAAAACTGCCTAGATAAAGGTGAATTCCCTGGTGGCTGGAGAAACGCTATCATAACATCGATCTAAAAAATGAAACCGGCATCACACCAGCAGCAACAGACCGATAAGTCTAACTAGCGTCTCCAGCAAAATGTTTGAACGTCTCATTAAGAGACTTAGTAATGAACATCTGAAGGAAAAGAACCTTCTTTCTCCTTTCCAACACGGCTTCGTTCCTAACAGATCATGCACCACCAATATGCTGTATGTTATGGAAAGTCTAACCCAGGTCAATGATAATCGTAAAATCTCACATGCAATCTTCATAGATTTTGCCAAGGCCTTTGATCGAGTACCACATTCTGCACTAATGCACAAGCTGGAAATGTATGATATCAGAGGCAGGCTTCTCAATCTTCTAGGCAGCTTTCTATCCTCGCGCTCCTTCTCTGTTAGAGCAGGAACCTCTTTCTTCAACTCTTCCCCGATGACAATAGGTGTTCCCCAGGGATCCATTCTAGGTCCACTCCTTTTCATCTTATACATTAGTGACCACCCGGACAAAATCCCAGTCCAAATTGCTATCTATGCTGACGATGTCACAACATGGGGGAGTGATACCTCAGCAGTGCAGGCAGCCATGGATATCACCAAAGCATGGTCATCAGACTGGAGCCTACCAATAAATGGTGACAAATTTGTAAGCATGTCCTTTGGCAGGGGCTGCGTGCACACTTTCAATGTGTGCAACACATCCCGACTACAGACTGTCAACCAGCATAAGATCCCTGGCTTTTGGTTATCTAACTCTATATTTTTCTTGCCACCACCAAAAAGCCCGGTAAAAGGCTTTTCGGGTACTCAACTTTATCACGCGCTCCTTCCCTTACTTTGATAAAGAACAATTTCAACTCTTATATGGCACTTATGTAAGATCGCTATTAGAATACGGAACCCAAATCGCGTACTCTGGGCTTGTGGCTGATCGTAACTCCCTTGAACGAGTTCAGCGAGCAGCCACAAAGCTAGTCTCAGTTCTCTTCCATGTCCCATATCCCATCCGTTTCACCACAGTGAACTTTTACCCCTAAACACCCGCCGCATTCGATCGGATCTTTCTCTTCATCACCACTTATTCTCCAGGGACACGGTCAACCAGCTTTTCACCCCATGTGGCTTAGATACTCTTCGTGGTCACAGCAAAAAGCTGTTTAAGCCTCGGCCCTGCACCCGAGTTTGTCACTGGTTCTTTACACATAGAGTCATTCCATTATGGAACAGCTGAAAATAACCGGCGCTGACGGCCTGTCGACAAGTCTTCTTACAAATCTCAAATTGCGCTCGACCTCCTAGTATCTCGTTGTACGAGGTAGACAAAAACACTCGTGGGAGTCATACACGTTTATTGGCGAATCGTGGTACTAGATAGTACCGAAACGTGCCTAGGTGACGCTAAACAATGCAACCAATAAATACAATGGCAAAGCAAAAGCGTATCACACGTGTTGCGTGGGTTTGAACAGGACCCAGTTTATATATACACCTCAGCGGAAAAACCTGCTCAGTAAAACAAACAGGAGTAAAATAAAGATGTATCACACAAGGAGTGAGAGTTGGTTGTGAAGAAAATATGAACGGAAAACGTCCTCGTGGACTGCTCTTTTTCTTCGTACAGTCATAATCAGTTCACAGCCTGCCGCAGGAGTTTGTTGACGCGCCTTCAAAGTGTGTTCAACCACAAGCTCGATATCTTCCTTGGTTTTAAACACGCTACCACTAACTCTCATTGGTTGCTCTTTCTCGATCTGTTCATCTATCTCTCGATCCAACGCGTTCTCGTTGAAATGCATCTATCCCAGCTGCATCTATTCATGATTTTTATTGATGTCGTGTATTTTTGTCATGCCAAAACAGACGAAAAACAGATATGAAAAGAAAATGTAAATTTAAAAACGGAAAACCCGTTTGAAACCTATGCGTCATAATTTCCCTTTGTGTCTCTAGGCGTTGATTATCTAAATTTTGCTTACGTGCTTATAATTATGTGTTCACTATCCGAATGCGCATATTTGTGCACCGCAAACGGTTACTGCACCCCTCAACTCCCCTCTTCCCCTTAAGGTTCTTTGTTTCAATTATCTGCATCCCCATTGAATCCACTTCACTAGCTGGCCGTGCCGGAAAACCGACAAACCAAGACCCGGGACCATTGGAAATAACCCCGACCACCAACAAGGATTGATCACCGACAAGGATATTGCTGACTCGTTCCTCGCCTCGTTCCAAGAGGTCTTTCGTCTGGATAGCCGGAGCAACTATCCTACACTCGATCGAGTGAGCGACATGCCAGATCTGGTGATATCTACACCGGACGT